TCTGGGTGCTTCGTAAACTCAGTTGGTATCATGCTGGACGACGGAGCAAATGGCTCTAATTCGAAAATCCAGACTGGACGCTCTTAAGCCCGTGTCGTTTAGTGGACTGAAATTTTCAAGGCTCTCATCCCATTTGGCTCGGTCCTAAAGGAGACGGACGTTAAATTCGGAGGTCCTGTCTCATAAATAGCTTGAAATTGTTGATAGGAACGATAAACCAATAGAATTAAACTTACTCCCCCCTCTCTTTCTTCATCTCTCTCTCTCTTTCTCTCTCTTTCTCTCTCTCTATTTTCCATCTCTTTCTCTCTCTCTCTCTCTCTCTTTCTCTCTCTTCCTCCCTCTATTTCTTTCTCTTTTCTTTTCTCTTTATCTCACTCTTTCTCTCTCTCTTCTCCCTCTCGCTTTCTATCTCTTTCTCTCTCTCTCTCTCTCCCTCTCTCTCTCTCTCTCTCTCTCTCTCTCTCTCTCTCTCTCTCTCTCTCTCTCTCTCTCTCTCATAAATCTATCTCTTTCTTCTTCTCTCAGAATCTCATCCCTGTTTTTTCTCATCCGCCTTCTTTCTTTTCCCCTTCTCCAAGCCTTTGTAATGGACATCCTTCAACTGCAAAGGTTTTTGAGTTAACAGATACAGTACAGATATTTTGCTTGTGTAGAGAATTTTTCCTGACTTTTTGTTATTTCTGGTGAGGGTTTTGTTGAAGAATGCCACTAGTAGTAGATCTTATCTCGTCTCTTCCCCTCTGTTATTTATGTATATCTGTTGGTCTGACTTTTTCCGTGCCCTAAATGAGCATTATTGTGTGTGTGTTTGTCTTTACTTCGACTAACCAACAAACGTGGTTTTGACTTACAGGACAAGGAGACGGGCGCAATCATCGACTCCTGCGGCAGAACTGTCACTGTCACGGTGATGCCTTGCGTCATTTATGACCACATCGTTAAATGGTAAGTGCAGAAAAAATAGTTCAAGGTCATGTTTTATATATATTCATTAGTTTTGCAGAAAAGGATGTCTATTGTTTGTATGAGTGGAAGGGGATAAAAAGGTACGATTTAATTTTCATGTTGATCTGTGTTATCATGGAAGGGATTTTTTAGACTTTAATTATAAAAAGGAATTGAAAAAAAAATGGTATGTTTTAACTTTACAATATTCTCAAGCTCAGAAATTGCCCATTTTGAGAATATGATTAGGTAGATTGAAGTCTGCCGTCGTTGCCCCCGCCCAAATTTTACTGGTACGGAAAATCTGTTAGTATCGTGTACAGTTTTGTAAACTCTCTAGAATACATTGTCTGTCTGTGGAAAGATGGTGTCATAGTTGGTTAGGCTACCGAACTCGTAATAGTGAGGACCGAACTCGTAATAGTGAGGTTTCGGGGTCGGGGGGTCGGGGGTTCGAACTGCGAGCCCAATGTTGTGTCCTTGGGAAAGGCACTTTACACTTTCCTCACTTCTGGGTGGGAATGGGTACCCGGCCCTACACAGCGAAAGATCCTGTCAGTATGTTAGTGTTTTAGCGCCTATAAATGGCTGCTTGCACTGTATGCTTCCCAGGAAGTTGAGGTTGTTTCAGAATGCTCTCAGGTCTGCTGGGATAATAGTATAGATTGTGAATCGCATAGAGCTTGATGTTGAGTAGGGATTTGTGCTATACAAATGCTATCTATTATTATTATTATTATTATAGTTGAGTCTGTCAGAAATACAGAAACCATGGCCCTTTCTTAATCGGAAAGGGTAAATAGGCGATGTGGAACAACCGAACAATAGATCAAGACAGGCAATGACAATAATGGGAAATTTTAAAACTTATCTTTTATTCATGTCGTCCCCCCCTGTAGTTTTCAAAAACTTCTCGACTGCCATTGACTAATGTTCACTTGTTTTGTCTCTTCAGCATGGGCTCAAGCATCGTCAAGAAACTTATGGACCATTCAATTCCAGACCTGTAAGGGAACAAGCGAGAGATTGGTGTGAGAAAAGAACCCATATATGGACTTTGGTAGAAGTTGAGAAGGAAAGGCGCCGACCCGTATTGACGGCTGCTAGGTGGACGATCTAATCGGCAAAAGGCTCGTGATTTGGGTTCATCATTGAGAGACAAAAAGTAGTTGAATTGAAATTCCGAGATTGTTAGTTTTCTTGAGGAGAAAAGTTACAAAGGCAGTTGACGACCTCCCCCCACTGTAGTTTGCCTTAGATCTTGTAGCTCTCTACAATACACTATGCCACAGATGCAAAACACTTGATGATTGTTCCTTTGAGAAAAATTGTTTTTTTTCCGGTTCTTGGATTGTACTCTTTTTTTTTACAAAGTTTTATTGATGTTCTGTGAATCTTGAATGTACAATCTACGCACCTATTGTGTTGGTCATAATTTACATGTGTGCATAAGGTTTTGTTTTTGCTTGTTTTTCTCTTTTCTTTGTGATTTACAGTCTGTTGGCTTTTTACAATGTTTTTTTGGTTGTTGTTTTTTTTTGTGATAGATAACTGAAAATTGAAAATGAAATGAGTAACAGATTGGTTTCTTTCTGGAACTCTATCCCTAAAAATGGGTCCATTTAGAGGAAGCAAATATTGTCACCTGAGTGCAAGAAGTGACTAGATCCACTTTTCACAGTTTCGAAAAAGAAGAGTTTGAAATTTTGACGATTTTGAAATCTTTATATATATCATAGTCAAAAAAGAAACTTGAATATCTCGATACTACGGCTTAGATATTTACAGAGGTAAAAGAGCTGCTTAAAGTCTCACTACCCATATATCTATTGCTCCATTTCGACCAAAAGTGGATATAGTCACTTCTTGCGCTCAGCCATTGATATGAACTGTTCTAGATTTATTAATAACCAAAAAGGAGAAAAAACAAACTGTCCACGATATTGATTCCATGAAAGAAATGTTCTTTTTCATTAAATTCCACGTTTAATCATTGCTGCTCATGTATTATATGTAAAAAGAAAAAACAAAAAATAAAACCGAGAAATTGTTCTGATGTAAATAAATATGCACTGTTGTTATTGATTTATTGTCTTGAGTTTCTTCGTTTTGGTTTCTTATGTTGCTACATCACAATCTGCTAATCAATCAGATGAAATTTTGTCTTTAAGGTCTTCTTTTGTTGTAAAGAAGCTCAAAGTTTGTTTTTCTTTGGCTCAAGATGATTGTTTGTGTCTAATTGTAGTACTGATTTGATATTATAATATTTCTATGCTGTAGAGTCCATTCATAATGTTGTCGACATAAGGTTAAGAAAGTTGATTTCTGCTCTGATCTAAATTCTTGCATAATATTAATATGAATTCTTTCAAAGGGAGAAATAAATAAAACAAATGAATTGATAAGGTGGAAAAAGATAAGTTCACATTGTAACTTTACTGTCAAGCTTTATTTTAAGGTTTTTTATGCCTAGTTGTAAGATGAAAGACGTTATGATGATTCAGGTTAGGTTCTTGTAATGTCTTGAGAAAATTATTACAAGTAAAACAAAATTTCATCAACTAAATAAAATACTCTATCAGGAAGTAGTGGAAAGGGAAAGATTTCTAACATAATTTTGGAACACGGAAGTTGAAAAGAAAAAAATCCCGATCACTAGTAGGTGCTAGGGTTACATTGCTTTATCTTATTAAGGATTCTTTAGTTAGTGGGGAAATGTTGAATAGCTATGAATCTAGGCTGTTATCTTATCAACCTGTTTGGTGGTGACTGACTGTCCTAGATAACTCTCAAACAGGCCAGGGAAGGTTTTGTTATTTACCTTCACGTCGCACACAATAGACCCTGATAAAGGGAATGGCTGTCCACCAATCTTTGTATTCTCAGCTCTATAAATAGTTCCCAGAGTCATGTGAGACAGTGAAAATGCGACTTCTTCTTAAGCTCACTCTTTGTTATGAACTGTTTTCACTGTTATTAAAAATGGAGATACAACAAGAAAGCACTGAGGTCGCGATACCAGGAGCTAATCAAAGATGTCACTGCACAATCTATAAATTTTTTGGACTTAACTTGTGTATGGTTACACTTGCTGTTTGATTGAGATATCAGTACTGAAACATTTCACAACAAGATTGTATTGTTTTCGAGAGAAAAGCCAATATGATTGTCGTGCCTCATGAATTATCCTAATTGTGTTGATGGGGTCTTAAACTTGGTCATTTTTACTATCAAAAACAAAAAACCAAAACTCATGTAAACCTGACGTGGATTGGAATGTCGGAATACCTCACGAAATTTGTTAGAAACAGATTATATGGAAAGAAAACATCTCTAAGTTTTAGAAATAACTTTACACCGCTCACTAATTTATTTGCAGTTGGGAAATACTTGGGAAGTCTTGTCTAATGTGGTTTGGGTCTGTTGTATTATTTTCATCGCCCCACTCACCTGCTTTTTTATCTTGATAGAAAGTATATTTTATCTGTAAACAAACGCCTGTGTCATTATCAAGTTTATCTTTCAAATTCAAAGTATTGAGTGTACTGTCAAACTTTTCCATAATGGTCAGTCGAGATTGCAGAGAAAAGGTCTACTGTTACTGTTTTGTATGGAGAGGTGATGACCGAGTCAGGTTCCACTGTATTTACTATTCTTAAAGTTAAAACCCAAAGTCTTTGGGTAATGGCCAAAGGAGCTTCCCTATCTATAGCTTTTCACTGACTGAGGAAGAGTCATCTAAAATTAGGTAACAGTTTATCTGAGTGACCTGATGGCGAAGACATGGCATGGGTTGTGTGGTTTGTGTTTTATTGTTGGAAAAAAACATTGAAATGAACTGCCCTATATCGATCACCAGAGCGTCTTTGATTTGGTTGTGAGGCACTTTGCTATTGTGTGCGGGAGACCCAAGGTCGATTCATGAGTGGGGAGAAATCTGTATTGACAAATATCTCGGTCTTTGTGCTGAGTTGTTGTATCCCTCTCAGCCCGAGTTAGACCTGATAGACAAGGTCGGAAGCCCGCTGTGTAAACAATCTAAATTGTGTTGATAGGGGCGTTAAAAACTCATACATTACAAAATTTATTTTAACCGCCCTATTTTATCGGAGGTTATTTTCAGAATCGGTTATGGTGCGGAATGACTGGTATTTGGGTGTTACTTTTTAGACCATTGGAAATGCACATACATGATTGATACTTTCTTCAAAATTGAAAAGCATTATTTTCTGGGGTGACATTCTTCCAAAAGTTATAATTGCATTGAATAGGATGGATAGTTTTGTTCCTTGTGGGGTTTCTTTTGGTTGTTGTTTTACAGAATGAGTTAAATGTGTTTGCAATGAATTGTGTTAGAGCTAGATCCATTTTTAACTTTGTTTGTTGTTTTTAGATTTTACTGGACTGATGTACGTTGACTAAATGACTCAGAAGTTACATTCTGCACGTGGGATTTGCTTAATCATACTCTAACTGTAGCATAGGCTTTAGATTCCCTATTTTTGTTCAGTGTCCGTTTAGACAAAGAGAACAGAAACCTGTATAGAAACGGACAGAAACTTGCAAACCTACTAACATTGCATTCTTGTTACAGTACTTATTTGTAGAATGCATGTTAACTTTTTGGTTGAGTTGTGAGGGGAAGCTTAGCCAGTGAGGTGCTTATACAACTGAAGCTTTGTCTCTTGTTCCCATGAGCCTTTTGTTAGCTCAGATGGATAATACTGAACTACAGAGGATGGTCTTGGTTCAAATCCCAGGCTGGGTGTTCTTGAACTCTGGTTGTTTTATGGGGTATTCAAGACTCTCAACCCATCTGGCTTGGACCTATCGGAGATGGAAGTTAAATCCGGAGGTCGTGCCTTTTAAATAATCCGTACACTTACATTTTTTCTTTGTTCCCCACGTCTGCTCGTAAAGTTGTCATTTAAAATATTTTACTGATGTTTTTTGGGGTTCAACAACATAAAATATTTGAAAGACGTGTTTTGTTTATATATTTGAAAATGTAGTTGAAACTATTATAATTTCATCTGTTTTAGGAAATCCCTAGCTTTTGTAATTTTTAAAAATTTTTACAGGGTGAATACTTGGCCCAAAATCAGGTGTTATAATACAAATGTGCAATTGCAAATACTTATCAGGCTAAGAAATCTTGAGAAAATGCCTGTCTCCTAGTCTATTCTTCACTGTTTACTCTCTATCTGTTGTGTGGTTTAAAGGTGTTGGGGATATAAGTGACTATCAGTGCTTTAGTTTTGCTCTTTGTGAAAGGGGTATGGATGTAGTATAGTGGCTTTAACTCCCTGTGGGTTGAATAGGCACCTGCAGTGTAATAGTTAGTAACTTCGGAAGGACTTCCTTAACAAGCGACCACCCCAACAAACACAATAAAGAAGAGACCTAACCCTAACCCAAACCCTACCCCTTACCCCTAAGCCTCTATTCTACTCTGTGTCATAGTGGTCGCTTGTTACGGAAGTCCCCCGTATCTTCGTGGTTTTGCATGGATGATGTGAATTTGATTCTGGCTAGCAAAAGTTACTGAGTTGAGCATTGTCTGTCTGTGTCTGCTGGGATGCTGTTTCCACCAACTCAGCCCGAGTTGGACCTCACAGGCAGAATGGAAGCAGCCAGTCTCCATTCTGATCTTACCTCTTAGTATACAGAAGGTTATTCCCCCCATATGTGCACAGCTATTTTGTCATCCAAGTTGTTAGCATCACAAACTTCCCTTTAACCCCACTCCAGTTGAACTTATCTGCATAAAATAAGAATGAAACTGAGGTGAAATGAATGCAACATCCAATGAACAGGCAGTTCGATTTTACAGATAAGACTTATTTTCTGAGGATTCAAAGATTTGTGTCATGACTGAACAACTGAGCAATGCCGTGCCATCTGACCAGGCGTGCCGTATACTAAGAGTTAATGGTGTCGAGAGGGCTGTAAAACCTTTTTCTGTCACTAAACGGGAATGGATGTTTCAATAGTAGCTTTACTCTCCGGGGTTGATGTCTCCTGTAAAAACTGTGGAGCCCTTGTAAGTGTCTTGTCCTCAGTAGACGTTGTTTCTCTATGGTTGATTTCTTGGCCTGAAAGGTCTTGACAGTTTTTTGTTTTGCGTTGCATAATTGATGTAATTTTACAAAATGTAAGATACATGTGGGACAATACCATTATTAATGTTACTTTTTTATTTCTTTTGCATCCTATGATTCTTAATGCATTTATTGTTCACACATTTGAGTAGAAGTTCACATTTCATTGTAGTTGTAGCGTTGTAGTATATTAGTTCTGGTCCAGATCTAATGAAAAGTCCTTCAGACATTTTTTCCTCCCGTGTTCTTTCTGTCATAGATAGAGACTAAGTTATGTCTCTTTTTTATTAGCCGTTGACCTTCAAGTGAGTAAACATGTAGACCTACAATTAAGTTGTACAGTTTTACAGTGGTTAACCGCAGCACAACTTATTATAAGTACACGTTCCTGAGATATGTGTTATATTGCGTCGTATGGACACCTATCAGGCCTAATTAACCCTGTCAGACCGTATTCCAGTATACTCCAAACTTCAACTATACCTGATTCCCGTTACACCGGTAATTGGGAGGTTGCGTCATATTTTTAAACTGTTTACCACACGAGTAGTGCTTGAAAACCTATCCAAGTATTGACATTAGCTCAAAAATAGGCCTCTTATCTGTATTTCTACCAAGTTTCATGTGTTTCTGATAACTCGTTATCCTGTATTAACCACCTTTTGCACACTTTTGCTCAGGAGGCCAGGTATTGAGGGAAGTTAGGTTAAGGGCGTAAGGTTTGACAGGGTTAACAACTGAGGTATGTGTTATAGCGTTGTTTGGACACCTGTCAGGCCAAATTAACAAGGAGGATAGAAAAGAGTGTTCCCAGTACAATTTAGCATGCATATAATATATTGCAAAGTTGGCGGGTTGCTGAAATCTTTTTTCAGTTATGTATGAATTTTACAACATAAGGTAATTCAAAGAAATTCATGTTGTATACATGTATTTTCATAAATAGGGCAACTGCAAATCTGTTCGCCATGTGTGCGCACTTCGCTCTTTGCGTGTTTGCTATGTGCATCATAGACTATTTTGTTCCTGACTTTTGCTTTTCTCAAAGAAAAGCTTGATGGGAAACTCGCATAATGAATACTGAGAACAGAGAATGCTTTGTGGTATATAAAAAAAGCTGCAAGATGCTGTGAGTAGGCAAGCACTTGTATAATATTACTTGTAGTGCCTAGCATTTTCTATGCATATCAAAAAGGCACTGTAACAAATATTGCTAGCACTTGTTTGCTTTTTATAACATAAAGTATTCTCTCCTTTAAATTTACTTGATTTCTTCATATATCTCAGGTATGTGAACTGCAGCTGTTGTGGGCAGGTTTCTCTCACCATCCAGTCTTTTAGGTCCTTTTCTGAGCTTTTAGATTAGTTGAGTGGGTTTTTTTTCCAACTGTCTGTTTTAGCTTGTAGAAGCTACATGTAGATCATCTATTTAATTATGTCATTCAGATTTTTTTTTTTGACATTCAGAAAAGGATTTATTATATTATGTACAGGTAACCAAATTGGGAGCTATTTTGCGTTTGTTGTAACTTTTCATTTATTACCTATGGTGAAAGTATTTCAAAGCTATTCATTAATCACTTGTGAGATAGAAAAACTCAACTTTCTAATGGCTAAAGGTTTGAACTATGAATTATGCAAGAGAAATCTAATTTAAAAAATAAATAACAAGTAGTATTATGAAGCTTGAGGGAATGATGTCATACTTTGTCCTCTGTTGGGTACAGTTTAGAGTGGGGATATAATTGGGAGAAAAAGTCATTGCTACTCCGGACCAGTTTTGAGAACTTTGTCTATTCTGATGCCCTGAGTCTTTGTGTTCATACTAACAAATTTTATTCTTTCCTTGCACCAAAAAACCATTATTGCGTTGATATGTTTCTCTTTACCCAAAGTCAAACATGAGGAATGAAGTACAGATGCTCTTTTAGCTCAGTCGACTAGACTGTCTATTAGTCAACATTACTTTCTCTTCTTTGAATAAGGTTCCGTGTGTGAAGGTTGTTTTGTGAAGTTTACAACTCTCCGTCCCTTCCTTTCACAGGTTGATATTTGATGATTTGTGAGACGTGCTGACAAAATGAGTTACTTCTCGCAATCCACAAATGGAGATATTGGCCAAAAACTGACACAAGGGTCAAATTTGTTGATTTTTTATTGATGCCGTATTCTCCAACAATAATAAGCCTTTTATTATTTCATACTTATAAATTGTAAAAAACTTCACCTGTAAGCGTTATGTATCTATTTCCATAGGGCTCGAATTCGAGTAGTAACTTATTTTGTCTGCAGGCTTCACATTATCTACAGTGAAAGAGGAGCAAAACATGAAAGTAATGTTTTTCAAAATGCACACTGTCTGTGACTTGTTTTTCTATACTACTACAACCCTTGCAGTATTCCTAGAAAGTGTGATTTCAATGTGCTTCTCTGTTTTCCTCTTTGTAATCAAAAGTTTTTCTTTGATAACGAGCAGAGGCTAGGCTTTTCTCCCTCATTATCTCCTATATACTCAATACCCTTGGTAGCCACCCATATATAGACTGCACTCACCTTTTAATCTACAGTAGGCACATACTTGTATCGATTCCTTCTGATTGCATAAGATATTTCACTGAGTCTCTGAGAGTTGTGGTTCTCAGACCAAGACACTTTGCAGAACTCAATAAATTCATTTTTGATGGATTCGGAAAATTTAATAGTATACAAGGATTTGTCGATAAAATTTCAACCTTCATACCTTTTGCAGTAGTAACAACGACAATTTGAAAAATTGGTCTGGAATAACAACTAAAAGTAAATGGCTGATACTGAGGTTTTTAAAAATGTAAACAGAGCTTTTTAGAAGCTGTTGGGTAATTGGCCTACATCTGGGATGTAAATGTTCTGTTCATATACAGAAGTGAGTCTTTATTTTCCTGGTGTTATTATTTTAAGTTTAACTCACTTGAGCCTATTCCCGTATATTTACCTGACGTGCCGCCAGCCCGATAACTTAATCCCGTGTATTTATGGAAGGCGCTTTATCAATCGGTATCTGCAGTGTTTTTCATTTACAAGCTACTGGAAGCCGGGAGCCAACAGCTGACCCACTTGCTTCATTTCCTTAAAAATTTTGTGAAATTATATACAATACTTTTTTTTTTTAGCAGTAACAGACTAAGTCAGTCACCCCCCACATTGCAATAGATGATTTTAGTATAAATTGGGCTCCAAAAAAGTTGCCTAACCCTCAGACATTGCCACATAGAAATACTGATAAAATAAAAACTATTTGGACAAACCAGATGCAGTTTACTTTTTATGTGAGAGCATTACTTTCTTTCTGTGGTTGCACATTTTAAAAATTATGATAGCTTTCACAGCCTTTTTGTGGTTAACGCTTCAATATTCAATATACCCCAAAATTGTCATGCTGCAATGGTTGTTGGGAGATAAATACCTCAGGCTCAAGTGAGTTAAATGATTGTACTCAGAAACATTACTATGTGGGCCAAGGTAACGCTTTCTAGAATTTTTTTGAAAAATGTTACTTACAGATTTTAAAAATCTGTCTTGAAATATCCTAGATTCATAATTTTATTGTGTTTTATGTCATCTGAATTAAATGTTACTGGCATATTCTGGCTCATTGACCAGGTTTTCCCACCGCACTATTCCATGAAATGTGTCACTGATGTGGATATCAAATAGCCTTGTTGGGGACAAAGTCTGTTGAGTTAATTTTACTTAAAATGCTTTAGAAGAATGCGAGAAACCAAAAAAAAAAAAGAATGTCATTTGCATAAATACATAATGCATTGTTTATTTATAATATTAAACTTTGTCTTTGTGACTTTATAAGAAACGGTTTTGATGTTTTTCTTTTTTTGTGTTTTTGTGATACTGTGTATCTTTGCAAGTCACTACTATAGTGCAGTAGATCGGGGACTTTACCTGCCAAGCAGAAGATGCAAGTCCGAATGTGGTCAGCATTGCCCCCCCCCCCCCCCCATTTAATATCTCATCGCCCAAATGTCCTGACAGGGTACCCTGTGCTGTAGTCAAATCAAACTGACCCAGGTTTGGTCAAGAGGTCACAAGTACAGTACATATCATTTTTGAACCCCTCGGGGGCAGTGCCACTGACTGTAGTGTCTTTAGGCCATTCCCAAAGGGGGAACATTACACGTTCAAGCACAGTAAAATTGTAAATGTGCTGATTCATCATGTCACGCTTATAACCACACCTGATCTACAACAGGGAACTGCTGCTTTTTCTTTCCAAATCCTTACTGTCGTCATTTTCCCTCCACTTCTTTTGTATGTTTGTCTCACTCTTGTGAACTGCTATTTCGGGGTGCCTTGATAGTCAAAGCAGACCTTGTGCTGTTGAAGCTGGAGAGGTGAACAGAGTAAGTATGATTCCCCGTAAAGACTTCTCTGTTGACACCCACCCCTTGGCGCTCATATGACCTTATTTTGCAGTTGCGAGAGCCGTAAAACCCTCTACCAAAAAAAATAAAATAAAATAAAATATCATTTTTGTTTCAATCGTGACTCTCGACTTGAGAAAATGTGCTTTGAGTGCCATTAGCTTACAGGCTACCTGGTGCACATTGAATTCATTTGATTGAGTCATTGGCACAATTTTACCAAATTTGACTAAATTCGACTGTGATCTTCAAATGATTAATTAAATGCCTTTGTTTCTCAAGGTCACAAGTTGAATCAGTGACACTGTGCCAGAATGAACGGTAGCTTTGCCCCTCCTTGGAGGAAAATCTGGGTGACCGCAACTCAATTCGACGGATTGGCAGTGTGCACTAAGTATAAGTTGGGCTGTTGTGCGGATTGTCTCACTTCGAGTCCGTGATGGCACGTTCATGAACTTGGTTTGTTTGAAGAGTTTTCCAGGCTCTCACTCTCATTGTTTCTGTCCTTGCAGAAACGGACGTTAATACTAATACCCCCGTCCTCCAACACACACACACACACACACACACACACACACACACACACACACATACACACACACACACACACATATCGTAACAAAAAAAAGAAAACATGTGAACAACATACCCCCCTTCCCCTCATCCACCAAGCTTATTATTCATGCCTGGGGATATTGTTTTTTGTTCTTCTA